ATAGCTACATCGCGAATACGGAAACATTTGAATTTGTGTCGAATGAGAGACCCAACGTTGGTTTCGGTTTAGTTTCAGCCTAAATTAATTTGTTTTGTCTTGTCATAACTATAGCTTCTTACATTTTTAATTCTTGTTCTTTTCTGCATAGCCTACTGTTGAATTTAAAAGATTTGCTGAGGAATGAGGGGAACTAAAATAGTCTAGCCTATATAATGTTTGTAAACATTTTGCATCAGCATTAGGCCTATTTCTGAATGATATAATAAAATGCGACTTATAAGCTATGCGACCTGTTTTTCTCTCTCTCAAAAATGCAATTTTAATATTATAGGTCTACGCATAGCGTATTTTAACCATGCAGCAAACGTTTTTAAATATTTTGATTAATAACTGAAAAAAAAAAGACTTTTTTAACCATTTAAATTATTGTATTAATTGGTCAAAATTCTTACTGTCGGTTAACGGTTAACCAGTTAAAATTAGGGGTGCTCCGATTAATCGGCTACCAATCACTATCGGCCGATAATCGCTTTGAGATGTTTGATCGGCGGTCTCTAAAAAGGCCGAATTAAAAAAAACGATCTCAAGCTGATGACGCGCCTGCTGTGCGAGGTTTGGCACGCCATGCAGCGTCACCATCTCAGGGTGCTTTCACACTAGCACTTTTGGTGCACACCCGGGTTCGATTGACGTCAGAGTTCGGTTCGTTTGGATGATGTGAACGCTGTCTTCCGAACTCCGTAACCGTACCCGAGTCCGCTTAAATAGGGTGGTCTGGGGTACGATTCATGTGAACTCCGGTAGGGTTCGCTGCTGATGTGAACGCAATCCTGACGACGCTGCTGTGAGAGGTTTGGCACGACATGCAGCGCCACCGTCTCAGTCTCTGTCCGGCGCGGGTGAAATAATTATAATGCTGAAGGTCAGGTACAATTCATATGTCTTCATTAAATAACTTATAAAGTAATTTGAAAACTTTCTGTGAAGAATTGTCACTTGCACAATTGAGGCAGTGTCGCATCGTCAATAAAGTTTATAAATTGCATTTCTTTTTAATTCTTGCAAGTGTTTATACCATTCAGCGCTCGCGCGCTCTCCTGGAGATTGTGCGCTCATGCACACTCGCAGCGCACGCACATAACGCCAGGTTCACATTTGTCCGTTTGCAGTGCGAATGCAGTGCGTATTTTTTCCGCGCTCATGTTAATGGAAAGCGTTCACACTGCACACAGCTGCGGCCCCGGCAGTACGATCCAGGAGCGGTGCGTCTGCAGCAGTGCAGAGATCGTTTCGGCACCGAGTCTATTTTTGCTGCTGAATTAAAGTAACAGCCCATTGTTTGCAGTAAATATGAACATGGATTGACACGAAAATGAAGTAATTACACCGTAAATGCATATTATTAAAGTCTACTGTGTTTCACAGTCAACACATATGGCTTTTTTGGTTGGCTAGGTTTAAAGGAAAAGAGCACTTTTAGATAAACAAGGCAATAATAGATGGCACTCGTGGAGGTAGGAAAACAAAGTTCTTTATGAACCGCAGGATTGCATTTAATAAAGATTTAAATGCAAAAGGAAAGGCAGTAGAGCTGACTATTTCTGTCAATGGTAAGTTTGTGATAACGTAAGAAAAG